AATAACTAAATAAATAGCAAAAAATGAAAATATAGAATAGAATTATTAATAATAATATATATGTATATATTCTCTCTTCTTGCGATATAATAATAAATTGAAATTTCAATTCAATCATTTCTTCTTCTCCTCATTGAATCATATTGGATATTAGATATATTAGATTTAAGAATCTATAAAAAGAATAAATATAAATTCGATAAATAAATAAAAAATTAATAAGATAGATAATCAATAATTATATATAATAAAGAGAATCTTAGAAATATTAAATATTTATTATCTAAATTATCGTAGAATTTACTTAATATCTATAATTTCAAAAAGTTTATAGGATAGATTTCACAAATTTCAGAAAATTTTATGATCGAATAGAAAGATCACCTCGATTTTATAAAATATTTTTAGGGACGATGCTGCCCAATCATATAAATAATAATTCTTCGTAATGTAATTCGCAAGATCATAGATTTGAGAAATCTTTTCGAAAAATCGTCCTGAATCCATAAATTCTATATAAGAAATTTATATAAAATATTAGTCTAGAGAAAAATACATATTATTATATAATAGATATGAAATCAATTTATATATCGATAGCCGTGATTTTCGAATATGAGATTCTCATATATAATATATTTTTTGAAAATGCCGAAATAAATCTAAAAAAATTTAATTAGTCGACCATTAATACCCAAGCCCGAAAACCATATAAAAGAAATCACCTATAAAGAATTTATTATTTATTAAATCCAGATCTTAATCCTTTAAATAATATATATAATTACGAATTCCAAGAATATTAATTAAATCTATCATTCAAATTCTAAGTTCGGAATCGCCCTAAATCTTTTTAAAATAAGAAAATCATCAGCTTAGATAAAATCTCAATAACCTTTAGCATAATACCTCCTCAAATTATCAATAATATATTAGAGATCTATTTTCTTTTTATAAGAATTTTTTTTCTAAATATCAATAAACCTCTAGAATTATCATCATCATTATCAGCATCGAATTCAAATACGATAATTTATATAATTATTAATTTAATCATTCTTTCTAGTTCTAAAAAATCTTTCTATATTATAAGCTAATCATATAATATAATATCCCTATATTAATCTAAAGAATCAATTCTTAGAAATTAATAATATAGAGAAAATAACATAATAAAAATAAGAATCAACTACACATTAAATATATCCGAAATTATATATAATTCCTTCCAATATAAATAAATCTTATTTTAAAATCAATAATAAATATCTATTAAGAAAGAAAAAATCATTAGAAATTCGAAGATCAGAATCCATATCTTCGAATTTAGAATCTCTATCTCCTCAATTTATGAATTCTCGATTTTCTAATCAATTCTCGAATTTATCTCGAACTCGAAACCTATTCAATATTCGAAAACAAAATTCATTTTCAAAAGTAAAGATCGTACTCGGAAAATTCAAAATTCAAATTCAAAAATTCGAGGATCAGATTTGACGGAATTTAGCATTCAGAATTTCACCCACTATCGATTCAATCAAAAGAAAATCGATTTTTCAAAATTTTAAGATATACAATTTTAGATCGTATCAATCTTCGCCAATATAAAAAATATAAAAATATGAAAAGATTACCAATTCTGTCACCGTAATTTTTTGATTTCTCGAGATCTTGTGTATAATCGCCACTCGTCTCTACCCTTCGCGGTAGGCGCCTGAGCCATCGGTAGCGTGTTCATCCATTCGTCAAAGCCACCACGATCGCCACTCACACTTGGGATGATCGTGACTCAGGACCGTCAGAAAGGCACGCACTCAAGGAGCTCTCGAGGGAACCGGTACACATCGACTCGCATAGCGATGGGATGACAGCTGAACGAGAAAGCCGACACCGGAGCACTCGGGCGAGCAACAGAACAATCGATTGGAGAGGTCAGGCAAAGATCCACAAACAAGTGCCGAAACTCTTGCCTCACCGAACCACGTCTGCGACTGAGCTGCGCATCCAGAGTCCAGTTAATTGCCGCGGCTAAGTCCGAACGAGGTGTCGTCAGATTGGGGGTATATAGTGATGGCTGTGGGGGATCAACGAAACCTAGCCAAGCTTCTCGGGCGCCCAGTGAGTGTTCTTGGGGCAAGATGTCTAGCTGGTTTGGCACTCATTTCCTCTTGTGCCAACAACTTCGGCACGTAGCTTCGAGCAGCACCATCTTGTTGCCAGCACATGGTTACCTCTTCATTGGTTCTAGCAATCGTGCTGTGGACCCTACAACATCCTACAACGAGGATATCTTTCCAAACCCGACTAGGGGATCTGCATCATGGCTGGCTTCAAGTCAAGTGAAACAGGATCTGTATACTCTCGCTGCGGAGAGCCGAAGAGTTCCTGCAGGCCGCTCTTTGCGGCATCATTCCGCGATCTTTGCGGCATCATCTTTGCCGATTGTCACACCCATCTTCGAATGAGCGGGAGCGACTGCCTCTTCGAAAAGGTACAAAGCTACATCCTCCTTGGAAACGGTTATGGGCAGGTTGCCCTGACCTCTTGCAGTGACGAGCTTGTAGGAGTTCCGGGGCAGCTCAGCCGGGTCGACACCCAGGGGCCGCACCAAGAGGTAGTCCAAGTTAGAGCTGGAAACGATCTCTTCCATCTGCTCGAGGTCGCGTTTCGTGCTGCGAAATGCGGTTCCCAACAAACAACTCCAGAAGCATCCAATACAGCTGCATGGTAAGTAGTCATCACCGATACCGAAGGATGAAAGCACAACCAGCCGTGAGACACCCGCTTGCTGCATAGCGGCAACAATCTGGCGGGCACCGATGGCGCAGGTGCACGCAATACCGCTCTGTCGGCTACCTGGGCAGGCGACCACTGCATCGCAGCCTTGGAAAACTGTGGCAAGTTGCTCCCGGCAGTTGTTGTCTGAGATGTTGAGCTTTAAGATCTCGACGCCTTCCATCTCTTTCTGCAGGGTTTCCCGCCGCGACACCGGTACCACCTCCGTGGTCTCAATGCCTGTGGCCTGACCGTCCTGAAGAGGAAAGCCAAACAGCAACCTACCTCAGAGAGCCCAAACGTGAGCAAACAATCAAGCTCGACCTGTCATGCACTGGTGATGGCAACCCGGAGCCGCAGGAAATTATTGCAAAGCTCGGTCCTCCGAGATGGCGACGGCCCGCAACTCCACTCCATCTCGGCGCTTTGCATGCATAGCTGCCAGCCTTAACACTCTTCCGGTTTGGGCCGGGTCTTGGAGCTACATAGGGCCACCCGAAAGGGGAAGGGGAAGTGAAGAATACTTTCTGCCATAGGTGCTGCATGGGTAGGCCGAGACAGAGCAGGGAGAGAGAGGGAGAGAGAGAGAGAGATAGATACAAACAGTGACAGCTAGAAATGCGTACGTATGCATGCATGCATGTGTACACAAGGTTAAAAGCAAACAAATATTGCACTGGCAGATGAGTGCATAGACATACTTACATGACCATAGACCTTTTTCCATAGTGTGCGAAGCAAGCGGATGAGAGAGACCGAGACGTACAGAAGTAGATGCAGGTAGATGATGCGGACACAGACAAAGACCAAAACAAGAGGCTAGGCAGGACGCGAAGGGTAGGAACCGCGAGGGCTGGCATAAAATGGGTGCAAGAGACTTCCGCAGAATTGATGATGCAAGTTGAGCAAGCTCCTGTTCCTGCTGACGCACTCAGGCTCAACATGCAGAAACAAATATAGCTATTTGTCACATGCCAGCAGCTTTCCCACGTCTCCAAGACCACCTGCAGATGCCCAAACGACAGCGATCGTCTGCTTCGTGCTCATGGCTCGCCTTCAGACTTCTACCAGTTTTGCGACATAGGCTTGATCCGCAGAAGCTCTTCGTCGCAGTTTTGGACAGGTAAGTGCCTGGTTTGTCATCGGCATGCGAACCTTCTAACTGCCGAAACTGGCTGTAAACGAACGAGCTCTTTCAGACTCAACCAGGTCCACGTGCAACTTTGGGCCCCTGGACCACCGCGCCGAGTAACACGTGGCTTTGTCTCCAAATTTAGCTTTACAAAAGTGAACTGCCGCCAGCTCCCGTTGTCACCTCATAGCAAGATCAGCCGCAGATGCAAAAGCCGCTCTGATTCTGTGCTTGCACAAACAACTCCCCTGCCGTAGTGAAGGGAACAAACTCTACAAACAGAAGAGCTCTATCCTGCATGTCTGCAGCCCTCCAGTCTATTTGCTGCAGGAGTCTGACCAAACCCTCGCGCCTGGACGGCGAAACGTTGCGAGCAGCAAGTCATCCCTGATCGCAGTCTGAATGCAGAGCTCTCCGACTTGTTGTTGGGTACAGATCCTGCATGCCCACGACGTTCTTTTCATCAGGAAATCCTTTTGCATGCGGCTTGCTGATCAATGCTGATGTCGGATTATATCTGAAGGCTACTTGCGCAGCAATGCTGTTCTGGATCTTGCGGGTTCGAAACTACAGTTTCAGGGGCAAGCCCAGTTCGGCAGGGAAGTGCATGCCCTGGCAACTCCCCACTCAAACAGCGGTCCTTTCTCGAATGACTTTGCGCAAATTTGAAACGGGCCGGCGGCCGTGCAGTTGAAACGAAGCTGAATTCAGCGCCGAGGGAGTGCACTCATCAAGGCCTAGGCCCATGTCTCCTCAGCTAGGCAAACCCTCTGAAGCCCAGGAACCCCTAAATCCTTGGGCCTGCATCATATCCCTGATGGAAGAAAGGAGCAATGAACCAGAATCTGGATGGATTGTGTAGTAGTATGTCGCCCACCACATCACTGTGCTGGTGCAAGAGGGCGCGCCATGTCATGAATGTACGATGGCTACGAGTACTTAACATTTCTTTACACTCCCCAGGCGGGTGTCAGGAGAAAGCTGCAATTGCCAAACCAGCCAAGTCATGATTCACCAGCCCAGAGTCCCTGACACGTACATGCTAGACATCTACAGACATGCAGAGATCTCCAGAAAGCACAGTGTGTTCTACTGTTCTCTTGATTTAGTCCTGACAAGTGTCAGCAATCAAAAATATTCTGCTTCTTCTCTCATTGACATTGATGCTGGTTTCGATACATCCCCGGCCTGGTTGCCCGCTGTTGTTCCCAGCGTGTTTTCGAGATTGGAGGACTTGTGGCTGGCTCGGTTGCCCACTCTACCGAATGCAAAACTACCTGTTGGGGAGGAGCCACTAGGGACAGGCAGCAAACTTGGTATGTCTGCAATATAGCATTATCTTGACGTTTGGCCATCAGAAGGTGCGGAAAGCAGCTTAAAATTCTCCATACATCGGCCCAAAAGAAGTCAGACCTGTCATTTCAGGTACCCTTCCAGGGGTGAACCACAGACTGATACTCCCCAGACTGGCAGTGCGCGAAGGCTTCAGCAGTGCTCCTCATAGTACTTGAAAACGCTTGCTTCAGAGTCAGGTTTCGCCCATAGCTTGATGACAGCCAAGCACTTGCAGAACCTCGGCTTCTTTCAAGGTTATGTCACCAGGGTCCAACGACACTACTGCCGCTGTATCTTGCCGGCATCCATGTTACCTTTCGTACACACTTCGTTCTCACCACGATTGCTAACTTTTGCCTCTGCCAGTGTCGATTATGTCGTGGCAGTAGTAGTCGTACAGCAGTAGTAGTAGTAGTAGTA